GCCCTGTGATGAAATTCGGGCCTAGGAGGCTGTTTATAAAGACCTGGCTTCTCGGACAACGCAGCCGGAAGTGGGTAGCGGAAAATTGTCCCTTAAGTAACGTCTGCCTGAATCATATTGCCTACATCATCTATCGAGTTTTGGTTTGTTTATAACAATGTAAGATTAGCCGCAAACGTTAATTAAAAAAAAAAACTTATAGGACGGGATAATTCTCTTTTAAACTTTGTTTTACCTTTTTTAAAGCTTTTTTCTTCATTAAAAAATCAGACTATCAAATTGTAGTGGATATAAGATAAATACCAAACTGTTAGATATTAGTTTAATGACTATTTAAATCTGCCTTTGTTCTTACACGTTAGTGGAATTTCATTGGCATACTTTATTTTACGGATGTAAATCCAGGACAGTAAACCAAATACCTTTCAAATTATGAAAATGTAATTTTACAGACGATTTAAAAATGACAGTCACTAAGTGTAAGCATAAAGCTACCTTGTCACAGACATAAAAAGGGATCAGCCAATTTGTTTGACTACACTGTGTGAAGAACATACTTTTCTAACAATTTCTTTTTTCAAGGAAGCAAAATTATTGGAGAATAGCAGATTCGGATTTTCCTTTATCACAGTATTGAGGGAGGTAAGTTCAAACCGGAAACGTGTTTAGCGCATGATCGCCCACTTCTGTTCGCAAGGCACTTGATGATGATGTACTTTGATGAATAAAGCTTTTGTTTACTTAAGTATAGATCGCGCCTGAAGGTTACATTACAGACCACATATTGTTAACCAATAGACGGCACATTTCCGTCTTTCCAGAGGAGTGTACTACACTGTGCTACAGCGAGCCATTAGACTCACATAACATTGTGATGGAGAGTACGACTGGCGAAACCCGCTGAAGTTATAAAAACGCTTTTGCAATTAGAGCATGGGACAACATTGGCCGATCGGGTGGTCCAATTGTTGGCCGGTAGACGACTTCGCCGCAGGTCGTGTAGTATTTGGGTTTGTCTGCTTTGATCGCATCAACACTGCAAGAGTATTTTTTCAGGGCTACTTGGTGGCGAGCAATATTAAGCTATTTTATATAGCACAAATAACCTGAGCCACAATTATAACCTAAAGCTCCCACTTCGGAATGCTGGTTGAACGTCACGATTTTTCTTCTTCTTAAAAATGGATGAAGGATAGAGCAGGGGATGGTACAAACTTTGTGGCGAGCATTGTTAAGCCATTTTATGTAGCGCAAATAACCTAAGTCACAATTATAACCTATAGCTCCCCTTCGGGGATGCTGGTTGAATGTGACGATTTTTTTATTCTGCTTAAAAATGGATGACGGATAGAGCAGGGGATTTCACAATCATTGCTGCCATCGCATGTGTTTATTGTTTTTCTTCACAGATGCTCAGTTATGAGCCTACCTGCCATCATATTCCCAGTTCTCTATGTTCTCTTGCTGATTTTTCCTAGCCAAGTAAAAGTGTACATGGCACACTGCTCCCATAAACCCACCTCCGTACTTGAATAATTCCGCTTGCATACTTTACATCTTTAAGAAAGGACATCTACCCATCTTTTTTGCCGATACAAGTAAATTTTGGGGGTTAAAATTCATATTCAAAAATAGTGAAGCTGTTGTCTTCTGCTCCTGTCCTTTTAGCCCAACTGATAGATCCGCTTTTAACCCTTACCACAGTGTCCTAACTGTCCACAAGAGCCACATCTATGTCTACTTATTATAGTCTATGTCATGTGGTGATGGTATCTGCCCAGAGCCTTCTGTTTTGTGTACTCTCAATAATACATGCTGCAGATGTTCATCCATACCATTTTTTTCAGACTGCCTGTCCTTGTCTCAGGTAAAAGGCAGTGTGAACGTACACTCAGACTGCTACCGGTACCACAGGAACTGAAACTTTGCATTGGCTGCTGAAGATAGGGACGCAGGACTTATATGAAGCTCCTGAGTGTTGTGATATCAGTTCTATACTGGAGTCCGCTGAGCTATTTACCTCCCAGTTCCTTCAACTTTCTCTCTGTCCGTACACACTTCAGGTTTCCCATTCTCATGATGTCACTAAGGACTCCCGATTCCATTTCCATATTATTAGGGTATCGTTTCTTTAGTTTAATTTTCCTTATCCTGTGACAACGGTACTTTAGGCGTGCGTGGTTGTAAGGTTGCATTTAACGATGTTTTATCACTACCGTTACCATGTTTCATCACTGCAGTTACCATGTTTTATCTCTATCATTCACCTTGATACTTACTCATGCAGGCCTCATATACTATTGAATCTAACCCACGTTTGCTCTCGAAGATGTCATAATGTGCTCTCTTTTTCACATTTGGTCAGAATATACCAGAGGAATATCTAACTTCCCTACCCGCCACCACGTCTGCGTACATTGCTCGTTTGAAAGTAATGCAATCATGAAAAGTCATCATTGGTTTTTTTTTTTCTTCTTCTTCATTTTACAGGGTGGAGGTGTTTAAAAAAAAGGGTGCGGGGGTGAGGGGCAGAGGTTCTAGAAAATATTTAACATTGAAGGGGAAACAAAGGCGGACTTTCAATTACGTTGCAGCTGGTAATATTAGCATGTCAGCTCTTCGTTGGCTACTGAACAACGGTACGGAGCACGTGTGGGAGTGTCCAGAGTGCAGTGATATCAACTCATTTATTTCATTCTTCATTTTGTTATTTCAGATAAACCCTTTTATTGAGCCAGCGTTGGTTCTCTAATGCGCACGATCACCAGTCTCGGATCAGGGTTGTGTTCTGTCCCGCTTAGATCATGTGATTAAGCCAAATATGAAGTTGTCTTTGTGATTTCTCCTTCTTCATTCTTTTTCAGGTCGGCCAAATTTCATTAAGTTTGTAATTTATTCTATTTTAATCTAATAGGCGTTAAATGTAATTAATTTGCCTTTTGCGAATTATGTAGCTTGAATTAATGTCATACTGCGTTTCTGTATTTAAAAAAAAAAAAAAAAAAACAACTTGCTCCACCCATCTCTATCTTGGCAGGCTTTTGCCTTGCAGCCTTTTTGTGTTCATGTAGCACATCCTAGCTGCTGGCTGATTTTGTTCCAGTATATAAAGATGACCAAACCATTTGATTCTTTGATATCCTATGAAATCATTGACCGGTAGTGTACCTACCATTTTGCTTTAGTTCTTTATTAGTGACTGTTATCTTTCAATAATGTCTAACAATCAGCAAGATGTTCGGTTGTCCACAGTAGCAAAGATGTACATTAGATGTTCTTAGAGATGCATTTTTATATTAAAAAAAAAATATTAATCGTCAAGATGTATCGTACTTTAATTAATGAGAAGGTGTTTGTGCCGGAGTAGTGCGTTATTATATAGGTGGGGTAATTATGTGCAAAGAAAAAAGTGTGGTGAATTTCCTCCTCCTGCTTACTCTTCGTTTACTCCTTCTTCTTCTTCTGCTGCTGCTGCTAGTGCAGTTTCTGCATTTATCCATAAGAGCGTTTGGCACGGTAAGTTGGAGTTTACAGCTGGGCCATGATATCCATTTCCGTTGACTCAACACAGTCAATTCAACAAAGTCATAATTAGATGCCCTTTGGGAATAGAATGTCTATATTTCGTCTCACTACTCCGAAAATACTAGAGGATAGTGACTGGCGGTGTTTAGTAACTAGTACTATCATCAAAGTACTCTAGAAAGACACAAAGATGCTCCAATATCCTCCACAATACCTCACCAAGTGTAAAAATGACTGGTCACGATTATTCTGTGTTGATAAGAAACGTCTCGAGCCCTAGTGAAATATTTAAGTGTGGCCGCTCTAGGATACATTCCTATATTCACAAATGTCGACAGGGCTACCGAGTCATGCTTGCCGTCGTGTTCGTCGTCTTCGCGATCTGCATCTCTCACATGAGATTAATGACTTCGCTCCAGTCCAGTGCCGGTACAGTCATAAAGAGCAGTGTCCGCCGTATAATCTGCACCCTTATTGCTTCGTACACACGCATGACCCGGCACAGATATAATGATTCAAGAAGACACCGGTGACTACCTATAAAACATAAACAAAGATTATGGATCCGGCATGAAAGCTTCAGCCTCCCATGCCATGTAGCTAGACAGACAATTTAGGCATTTGCTGTTTTTTTTCTTTTTTTTTCTTGACTCTTTTTCTTTAAAGTTTGCTACTTTTGCTAAGCAACATATATTGCGTAATGGGTTTACGAAAGATGAGATAAAATGTATTTTAGCTATATTATTTAGATTAAAAAATAAGGGGGAGAGGGGAGTGGGAACAATCCATTTAAAAAAAAATGTGTGAATTTGATCGCATAATCAAGTATTATAGAAAAATTAAGTTATACAAATGGGAGATTATTTATATACATTTAAGTGGTGGGTAAGATCCTAATTTGTCGTTTAGCTAACGATACATGATGACTTTTTGGCAAACAGCTGTATGGATACACGTGGGAATGAATTGATTATGACATATTTGGCATATACGTTTGACAGTCTAGTAGTGTGTAGAGACAGCGACAGTACGTATGTAGTGACCAAAGAATGTTGATGTGACAAACCGGCAAACACGGAGGGGTCTCAGTGGCAAAGTGGCCAAGCCATTTGCCTCGCACTCGGAAGGTCGTAAGTAGTTTCCTGCATGCGTTAATTAATCCAGAAAATATTGTACGCAGACATTGGGGATCCTGGCTGGAACTAAGAAGTTCGTGTTTTGTGCTATGATCTAGTCAGCCAGCTAGCCGATTTGTGGAGCGAGACCCAGCGAAATAGGATAATAAGAGACAATGAAGTCGATCCTGTTGACTATTAACTTTTACCTTTTAGATAAACATTGAGGATAACAAATGACATGGAGCATGATGCATTTCTCATCTGCAGAATGAACACATGAAAGATTTCTACCTGACTTGTTTAGCAGATATTATTTTCCAGAAAGTTCTAACATAACAACACATAGTGATAATCACGTTATACATCAGTCTCTAAACCAAAGTCATTACCAGGATTGTTTGTCTTGACTGTATGGTTCTCTTCCACCTTCTCATGTAACGATGTATTGTGGTTACCTTCCTCCATCTCCATGATATCTGACCCAGACTCCGAATCCAAAGAGTCCTTCTTTTCTGAAAAGTGGCAAGACTGTACATGTTTGTACACACCCTTGTCCGTACTCTCCCCTTCTCGGTGATAGAAGTAGTTGAAATTGGATACAATGACCGGAACCGGAAGAGCAATGGTTAGCACACCAGCTATCGCACACAAGGATCCAACTAGCTTGCCCCACACGCCAATCGGCATCATATCACCATAGCCGACTGTCGTCATGGTCACAACAGCCCACCAAAATGCATCAGGAATACTTTTGAAATGAGTCTGATCTGCATCTGCTTCTGCAAAATAGACGGCACTGGAAAACAAAATAACACCTATGAAGAGGAAGAATATTAGGAGGCCTAACTCCCGCATGCTGGCCTTTAAAGTCTGTCCCAGGATCTGAAGACCCTTTGAGTGTCTGGAAAGTTTAAATATTCTGAACACTCGCACCAGCCGAATCACCCTGAGGATCGCCAAAGACATGGCTTGATTATTGCTCTTGCTCTGATCCGCCACGACGGTGCCCAATGTGATGAAGTATGGAATGATGGCCACAATGTCTATGCAGTTCATGATGTTTTTGAAAAAGCCTAATTTTTCTGGACATGAAGCGAACCTGACTAACAGCTCAAATGTAAACCATATAATACAACATGTTTCAATAATAAAGAAAGGTTCATTGAACTTGGGGATGTCATCCTCTTCAATAGACTCTTTAGAATCGTTGAGTGTAGAATTAATAACCCTGTAGTGCTTAAACTGCGGTAATGTTTCTAGGCAAAATATAACAATGGATAATAAGATTATAACTACTGAGAAGATGGCGCAGAGCCTTGCTGCTGCCGAACTTTCGGGATACTCGAAGAGCAGCCAGACCCGCCGTTGGAACTCGTTTTGTGGTAAAGGTTTTTCTTCCTCTTTTATGAATCCTTCATCCTCTCGGTACCTCTCAAAGGCACTCTCTCCAAGCTCATAAAATTTGATTTCTTCAGAAAATACATCTAGTGGCACGTTGACAGGTCGCCGCAATCTGCCACCACTTTGATAAAAATACAGAATGGCGTCGAAGCTAGGCCGATTGCGATCGAAGAAGTACTCGTTGCGTAAAGGGTCGTAGTAGCGGTTGCGCTTCAGGGGGTTTCCGAGGAGCGTTTCTGGAAACTGGGTCAGTGTCTTGAGCTGGGTCTCGAACCTGAGGCCGCTGACGTTGATTACAACGCGCTCACAGCTGCAGTCATAGTCGATCCCGGCTGCGCCCATCCCATCGTCATTGGTGTTGTCTTCCTCTGACAGCTTCGGAAAGGACCTGGAATTTGGAAGATTAGAAGATCGTAAAAGGGGTCGCTGAGTGGAATGGTAACTGTCCCGGTATCCAACCGGCCCACCGTTCCCCTCAATCCCCGCCATAGCAACCTCCATTGTGAAGCCCGCATTAGTGTTTCCCTCGCTAAAGCTCCCTATGCTTGTTATGTTACGAGCCAGCCAGTGTCAATTGTAATACTACTACATCTAATCACTTTCCTATAAACATGGTGGATATAAATAATCTATTCATTCTCTCAGGCCTGGACTCGTATCGATTATCCCAACGTCACCGGCTACTTTTATTTAACGGCCAACTGGTGAGAACACAACAAACGGAATTCTAAGCTCTGTTGTTGTTTCAAGCTCTCAGCGTTCTCTTGCTGGTGCCCAAAATAACAAACTGGCCTTGTTAATGTTAAAGTGCCACTTGCCAAAAACCATCTGTGATTATTAAGACGTTCCTCATATTAGATTAAGTTTTTTTTCATAGAAAAGTCAAGAAGTCACTTTATAATGGCTTTGAAATCTTTGACATACACTGTCTGACAGTGTCAGGGAAACATGGAATTTCACACAATGCAAATATAACCATAATGACAATAACTACTCCGTATATCCACATTATGTGGACGAGTTACGCGAATTCGCAACTGGCAACGTTGTGCCTCTCAGATAGTTCTTCTTAAGAATACTCAGTATATCCATCGACAGTTTAATGAAATGAAAGACTAACTAAAGAAGATATATGCAACATTATTACACGTTATACAGATATATATAACTGTTGAATCCAAACTTGAAATAATTTGTTTATTATCCCCTGGACAGTTTGAAAACACTACTAAACGATAGGTAAATTTTTTTATTATCTTTGTAGCTGAAAACACAACAATTCCACACCACACACTGGGCGATAGTCGAAACAAACAATGACTTTATTCTTATAGTAAAAGGGGAACGATATTTAGCTCAATAGGCCCCTAATCATGTGAACATAGCTGTTGCAATAACTTGCAACATTTCACCAAACAGTACGACTCTCCCACACAGGCAAATCAATGGTGGGTATCGACATCGCAGCCCGCGTGCCATGTGAACAGTGTTGCTACTAGCGCGCTTTTTCACGGCACATTGGGCGAGTTATTCAACTCCAGCTATGGAAAACCTAAACACGGTGCGGGATGTGTCAACTGGATAAAAACAAAGGTTTTAACAGTTCACATGGCTGTGACATAACTTGTGAAAAACAAAGGGTTAAACAATCTAATATGAGAATTAGTATCAACCGTTTTGTGTATCTGTATTTCATGTTCTTCTTTGCGTTCACCGGCTGTCAACTCCACAAAACAGTTTTCGTGGTTCATTCACATCTGGACTTTAGTCTTGTTTCTGAACCTGAGTGTTGCATGCACATCCGTTTGACAGATTTGTCTTATTTATATACAGACTATTACTTCACTGCTTCTTAGACAAATAAACTCCGACTTCGAAGGAAGCCCCCATTTAGTCGACTCTTACGGCATGCTTGTTGGAAGGCAGTAGGTCTATTCTTGTTTTCCCCACAAACTAGCCCCGGAAAACTCATTTGAAATGGTAAAATCCCTAGTTGATTGATGAAGCCATAATGGTCTTCTTATTGTCCAAGCTATGAGACGTTGGTAGTCATGTCTATCCACAACTTTCTGTCTTGTGTACTCTTAATCAGTTCTTACATGGATGATCTTTCATACTTTGATGCCAGGCTATCCAGTATCTTCACTCTGGCCTCCCTCTGCATCTTTTCCCTTCCCACTTTCCCCCCGTTTCAATGTACTCCTGTTTTCTCCATCTAACGACATGGCCAAAGAAAGCAGATTTCTCCTTTTGTTGTTGGTAATCCGTTCTCTTCATGAGTCGGGTTTCTTTCGGGCACCTTCATTAACTTTTTAAAAATCCATATAGGGTGTCGTCATCACTCATCTATAAAATCACATCTCTGCTTCCTCTACAAAATGTTTCACTAAACAGCCAAATGTCCATGATTCACTTTCGTATATCAGGATATGATGTAAATAACATTTAAGAAGCCATGTGTGCACCAATAAATTGCCCTCTCAAGCGACTCAAAGACTGAATGATGATATGTGAGTGATTACTGCAAAAGTAAGTAAAAGTTAAAGACCCTTTTCAAACCAATGACATATGGTACTAACCCCCCTTTAAAAAAAAAAAAAAACCAATCGGCTGTCGATATGCGATATAGTCAACGTCACCTAGGTTGTGTTTTCTCCCTCCCAGCATCTACTTGTTTCCCATTCTGTCCACTTTTTCCCAAGATGTATCCATTGCACTGCAGTCGACTGAACAGTTATAGAAACACACATTTGACGAAGAAACGATGGACCGAGCATCAAAGAAACTCTCAGTTTGGAAAACTACCCAGAACAAGACAGCTTTTAGAACACACTGGAGCACGTCACGCGCAGAACACATTCATGAAGACCAAAGGAACGTCCCCATGGAGCACTGTTTTTAAATTGTGAACTGCCCCCGTGAGGGTTCCAGGGCCCTATTACAGGAAAACCAAGAATAGACCCACTGCCTTCACAGGAGCATGTCGTAAGAGTCACTAGCTGGGAGCTAACTTCGAAGTCGGAGTGCATCTGCCTGAGAGGCAAGGAACCAAGAGTCCTCACACAAATGTGTCAGATCTTTCAAACGGATGCACACTCGGGTTTTTGAACAGGACTGCAGTCCAGAAGTGGACGAACAACCAGAACTTTCCACCAGAGTTTACAACTGGTCAACGCAAAAGAAAGAAGAAGAAGACGATTGCGAACTGGATACAATAGACTTTGCAAATACCCCTACAATGACATGGCTACTGGGGACTCAGCGATTCGCCAATGTGGACAGTTCCCAATAAATACCGAATTTGTGCTTCAGACATGTTCTTTACATGCAGTTGGGAGGTCCCGTGTCTGGCCAGTTTTCAGTCCGACGGAGACCAAACTGTATGAATCAGTGGTGGACAAGTGTCGTACCCCTGGCATCTAAGACGTACCACACAAAGAGTATCTCTTTGCAAGCCAAAACTAAACGAGACAACAAGCCAACAATTTAGTCAAAATTGGAAGTGTTGGACTAAATGATCCAGCTATCCCAGCTTAGCTGTAAACCACAACACAGAGAGTAGACAGAAAGCAAACGCACAAGAGAAAGAAGAAGCAGCGGCAAAAAATGGCAGAAGAAAATGAAGAAGAAGAAGAAGGAAAAGAAGAAAAAGATGTGAGGTGTGTGGGGGGGGGGAAGGAGGGAGAAGGGGGAGAGGGGAGGAGGGGGGGAGCATCTGGAGGAAACACAATCAGCAACATAAGCAAACGCATAAGAAGAAGAAGAAGAAGAAGAAGAAGAAGAAGAAGAAGAAGAAGAAGAAGAAGAAGAAGAAGAAGAAGAAGAAGAAAGAAGAAAAGAAGAAGAAGAAGAAGAAAGAAGAAGAAGAAGAAGAAGAAGAAGAAGAAAAAGAAGAAGAAGAAGAAAGAAGAAGAAGAAGAAGAAGAAGAAGAAGAAGAAGAAGAAGAAGAAGAAAGAAGAAGAAGAAGAAGAAGAAGAAGAAGAAGAAGAAGAAGAAGAAGAAGAAGAAGAAGAAGAAGAAGAAGAAGAAGAAGAAGAAGAAGAAGAAGAAGAAGAAGAAGAAAGAAGAAAAAGAAAGATGAAGAAGAAGAAGAAGAAGAAGAAGAAGAAGAAGAAGAAGAAGAAGAAGAAGAAGAAGAATTAGAAGAAGAAGAAGAAGAAGAAGAAGAAGAAAGAAGAAAAAGAAAGATGAAGAAGAAGAAGAAGAAAAGAAGAAGAAGAAGAAGAAGAAGAAGAAGAAGAGAGAAGAAGAAGAAGAAGAAGAAGAAGAAGAAGAAGAAGAAGAAGAAGAAGAAGAAGAAGAAGAAGAAGAAGAAGTAGCAGAAGAAGAAGAAGAAGAAGAAGAAGAAAAAGAAGAAGAAACGAAGAAAATGAAGAAAAAGAATAAAAAGAAGAAGTAGCAGAAGAAGAAGAAGAAGAAGAAGAAGAAGAAGAAGAAGAAGAAGAAGAAGAAGAAGAAGAAGAAGAAGAAGAAGAAGAAGAAGAAGAAGAAGAAGAAGAAGAAGAAGAAGAAGAAGAAGAAGAGATTCGGAGGAGGAGGAGGGGAAATAAAAGAAGAAAAGCCAGCAGAGAACACATATTTCATCCTATTATTTACTCTCTTCTTGCTGTATACATAATTTCTTCTCACCTTATCCTGTCTAATTCAGCCAAAAGAGTTAGCATTAAAGGTAGTTTGTGTGTGCGTGTGTGTGAGAGTCTGAGTGTGTATGTGCGTGCGTATGCGTGTGTGTGTTATATGACCACCAAATATCAGATCAATTATTTTCCTAGGGAGGGAGTTGTATACCTGATGTGCTTCCCAATGTGTATCACTAATCTCATTCTGCATCCAGGGCTGCATAAATAAATCCGGCTAACAAACCCGACAGTTGAAATGTCTCAGCACGCTTGTTTTAGCTTCGGAAGTTTCAATCTCTGGAATTAATGACATTTACGTTATTTATATATACCCGAAACTGGAAATTTTATGACGACTAAAACGATTCGCGGAAAGACTGAGGTTTGAGGTTTTAACAACCGATCAACATTATGACACAAGGGTAGTAAACCATAAGTGCTTTGCTCTATTTCTAAGTCCGAAGTAGCTCAGCGCAGTGCGCGAACTCCGTATCACCGGCGAGGATCATAAACAACATTTTGGTAGCTTTTCAACTGCACATTTTGCCCGGGCAGTGCTCTTAGATAACTCCATTCGATTTTTAACAGCCACGGATTTTTATACATGCACAACAACACACAAGGGCGTCTGATCTCCCTACCCAGAGACCATGGAAAATTACTAGAAATCCACTTGAAAAAATCCCAGTCTTTACCGGATCCTGAACCCGGGACCTCTAGCTCTCGAGGCGGACACCATGCATCGAGACCACGCAGCCCCCTCGAGAAAAGTAAGATGGAGGAAGACATCGCGAGAAGATACTTGCTAGCCCTTTGTTATGACATGGCAGTGGCCACAGGGTGCATGTAACGACTGTAATCGCTGCTGTCAATTGTCGTTA